GTGGGTCTTCTAAAGTGTTTCTCTGTTATGCTGATCTTGAAGAGATCTACGACAATAGTTCTTTCTAGACTAGCTTTCCCAGTTCGTGCATTTGGCCAGCCCCTTAGCATGTTGATCCGAGGTTTGGCCAGGTCAACATACACGCCCTAGCTTCTGCTTGGTCTCATCGCTCAATTTCCCGTGTAGAATATGGAACTTCATACAATAGTGATAAATCGAAGTGGCGGGCTTCAGCTCGTGCAATATAGGCCGTCCCAATATGCATTATAATTGGATGGCAGGTCGACTATCACAAAATCATTTAAAATTCTTCTTTGGCGAAGAGCTTTTCCTAGTTCTACAATGAGGACAATCTGACCTTGGGCCTCAATAGGATCTCCAGAGAACCCCTGCAGTTTTCTTAGGTATGGTTGAAGATAGCATTCTGATAATTCCATTTGCCTTAAGGTGCATGAGTATAGTATATTGACCAATCTCCCGTTGTCCATCAGCGTCCTATGCACTTTTACCCCAGCCACTGGCATGGTGATTACAAGGGCATCACTTTGATCCTGAAACATCCATAGGGAATCTTCCTCCGTGAACCAAAATCATTCAGGGTTTGTACCATCTGTGGGGTTCGTTCTTCATAGTTTGGCATGATTTGTGCATCCTAGGCTTGTATGCGCCTTACCTTTCTAGACCCTTCAATATAGTGATTTTCTCCAATCATCATTCTAATCTCGGCTCGTGGAAGCGGATTGCGATTAGGAGCTGCCTGCTGAGTTCGTGCGGCAAGCCCCTGCTACGGAAGCTATTGTGGTTGAGGTCGGCTACCTCTTTTGGTTTGGCAATGAACTCTTGCAACCGTCATCTACGAATTAAGGACTCCACTTTTTCTTTTAACTCCCGACAATTGTCTGTGTCATGCCTCACCATCATGTGATATTGACAGTATTACCCTTGGTGATATTCCCTTGCCCATTCTTCTGGACCACTGGCCTGCGAAAGGCTTCTTTTTCATTAGATTGCATGAATACTTCTTCTAAGGTAGCTTTCAGTGGGTGATATTCTCGGAACCTATATGGTTGAGTCTTAGGGCGGTCTTTTTCTCCTCTATCCTTCATTCTTTCGGGCTGGGGATTTCTATTCGGCCTTTTTTCTTTCACCACACTGCTAAGTTCTGGGTCACATCTAGCTTCCTCTTGATCATATGTTGCCTTCTCAGCACTTGTGTATTTCTCAGCTCGATTAAAGAGCTCATGGAAAAATCTCGTTCCAGGCCTTAGCCCAGCGAGTACAACCATGAGTGCGGCGTCATCAGATAGCTTTTCCACTTCTATGGATTGTTTGTTGAATCTTCCTAGATAGCTTTTAAGAGATTCGCTTTTTCCCTATTTGATGCTCACTAACCCCTCTTTGGGCATAGTCCTAGCTTTGGAGCCCATGAACTAGATCGGGAATTCTGTGGCTAGGTCGTTCCAATTTTTTACCGACCTTTGATGCAATCTCCTAAACCATCTTTGAGCTTTATCCTCCAAGGTCAAGGAAAAAGCCTAGCACATTGATGAGTTTGTTTTACTCATGAATTTTGCTCAATTTTAGCTTGATTAATTGGTAGATCTTGTGAGTATAGAATCTTTTGTATGCGTTTGTTACTGTTGTTTTGAAGATTAGGAAAGGTGATGCAAAAAGAGGTACTAAAGCGGACGAAGAGACAAAAATAAGGATATTGTGGCCTTAAAAAAGGCGCTTAGGCGTGCATTCATAGCGCCAAAGCACTAAGAAGCTTTAAAAAAATGAAAATTGAACCCGAGAGACAGCGGCTAGGCCTTGTAATCATAGCGCCCAGGCGCTATCATCATCGCCTATACACTAAAGACGTAGCGCTAAGGCATTGCGCTTAAATTGACGCGGCACTTAGGCGCTGGTTCCTAGTGCTTATGCGCTGTGTCAAGATTGTCTAGGGCTCTTTTTTAGCCATTATGAAGTCCACAAAAACCCTACTTTCTATACAAACGGAGGAGACACCTATAATTACATCTTTCTCAGACTTTTGGAAAAATTCTTCACATATTGGGAGATAAGACAACAAAAGGAAAGATTAAAAAGATAAATTCAAGGAGAATAACACCAAGCAATTGAACATTTGAAACATTGATTGGAAGGGAAAAGAGATCTTGGTGCAAGAATTTTACTTTTTTTTCTACATCTTTATTACAAATTCGGTTATGCATTCTACGACAATTTACTATATTTCTTCTTACATTATGAATAGCTAAATTTATTGTTAGGTTGAATAATGTAATCAATTGGGATCATTTACATTCTCTTATTAAGATTCTTAGTTTTTAATTTTTCCATGTGCTGATTTTGGTATGAGTTAGATGCATTAAATTATCTGATCAATAATTTGATGATTGTTGTGAATTCTTTACAAATAGAGATATGAGTTTAAGATTTAGACCATGTAGTAAAATTCAGTACATTGGTATAACGAGTAGAGATACATATACCATTTATTGCGGTCATAATTGAATTTCTAGGACAAAGAACTCATTTAACTAAGTAGAATTTGCATAGAGATTTGGAATTTAATTGGTTGAATAGTCTTAACGAGAACTCGAGAAGGGTAAATTGAATACAATAAGAGAATTCGATTGAGCACTACATTAGAATTGAGTTTTAATTTGAAATGTAAATGTGATCAATAGGTGAAGTTATTTTGTCCTAACATCCATTCATTATTTGATTTTCCAACCAATCGTGTGAGTATTCATTTATTTTCTAGATTTTAAATTAAAACTTGAATCATACAACTTTTAGCGCCCATTTGTTTCTCATTTTTGAAAGAATGAGAGTGAAAAATATAGCCGTTACGGGCCCCCATACAAGATATAGAAATTCAAATTTGGTAACTTGATGTGATGGATAACTATCATATTTTTCATTTTAATGAGAAAATAAAGGAAACCGAACAGGGGCTTAATTTGTTTCCATCAAATAGTAGTTAAAGAAAAAAATTCAATTAAGGGCTAGAAAATAGTCCTTGTGGGATTGACAAACCGGACTCTTATGTCCACTATTACTTGTTACGGGTCGTACACTTGCAAAACAAAAAAATTTCAACAAGTTTTTGGCGCCGTTGCCGGGGACTATTACTTTTAATCTTAATGTATTTTTATTTTTAACCGTTATTTGATTTGTTTATTTTTTTTTATTTACAGAAAACTGTGTTCATTGTATTCTTCTTGTCCAAGACGGCGATTTTGAATCGTTTGATTCGAAAATAGAACGTACCTTCAGACGAAGATGCAAAGAACATAAACAAAAACAGCAATATCAAATGGCTGACAATTAACAAATCCCTATCTCTATTAAGTCAATTAGACAAATGGCTGTAAGAGTGGTGGCACCACCAGAATAGCAGTATGAGCGAGGGGAAATAAATGAATGTGATTTGCCAGTATCAATATTCATGACAGCTATATCAGCATCCATGCGTTCTAGTATTATGCATCCCGATTTTGGGGTGAATAACTTTCAGATCAAGCCAGATTAAATTAAATTGATGAGTAACACTCTACAATTCTATGGGCTATCTCATGAGAATCCGAACACACATCTCTCTAGATTTCTCAGAAGCTGTCAGAACCCGTCAAAACTTCCATGCTTCAGGGATCAATGAAGATGCTATTAAATTATGACTATTTCCATTTACATTGAGAGATGCCGCATTGGAGTGGTTATATGCAGAGCCTCATGCCAGCATTACTATATAGGAAGAACTAATCAGGAAATTTTGTAATAAATTTTCCCACCAGCGAGAATAGCTAAAATCAGATTGGAGATTCAAACTTTTCAACAGAAAGAGGGAGAAAGCTATCACGAAGCACATAATTGATTTAATGAGCTGATGAGAAAATGTTCAAACCATGGAATCACTCTAAGAAACCAAGTGCAGTACTTTTACACCGAACTTATACCATTGTCAAAATCTCAAATTGATGCCTCTGCTAGTGGATCAATCATAGGAAAATCAGTACAAAAATCCATGGATCTATTTGAGTTAATTGCCATCACACATTCAATGTTCTCATCAGAAAGAGTGATACCATCAAAGGCAGCAAGAATGTAAATATTAGACAACACAACGTCTACCAATGCAAATAGTAGCTTTAACAAAACAGGTAGAGTTACTTGTAAATTTGCAAACACATAGAGCAAATGCAACGATGGCCAGTTCAGCATGTAAGAATTGTAGGAGAAATCAAGCTATAGAGAGCTGCATGATGCTCACTTCTTTAGAGGAACAAGTAAACTTTATTCAAAATAGCTCCCGTAATTTCAACTCTTATGGGAACAATTTCCAGCAAGAAAGAAGACCAAGTTTGGGGGAGTTATTTCAACAATATGTGCAGAAGATAGACAAGGTGTTCCAACAAATTGACACGAACTTTCAAAATCAGCAGGCATTCATCAAGAAACTGGAGGCGCAAATGGTCAGATAGCACAACAACTTGCAGAATGTCCACAAGGGACGTTGACAGGCAATACAATGATAAATCCTAAGGAATAGATAATGGCAATTAAAGTAGTGGAGAACGATCCACCCAGGGCCCCCGTGAAAGTTAAAGCGTATGTACCTCCACTTCTGTTTCCTCAAAGACTTTGGAAGAAATCGATGGAGCAAAATATTGATGTCATAAATACAAAGAGTGAGGTACAATCATCAGAGATCACTACAGAGAAACCCAAGAGAAAAGATGACCAAGAAGTGATTGATGAAGCTACAAGGGTAGAAAAATATGCACCAAACGTAACTGAAAATGGAGAAAGTACAGAAACATTAGCTGCCAAAGCACCAAGTCTAGACAAAACTTACATGCCTCTCATTTTCTTTCCTTAAAAGCACAAGAAGAACAAATAAGACACAAATTATGAAAAATTTCTCAATGTTCTCAAGAAGCTCCAGATCAATGTTCCGTTCATTGATGCAATACTAAAAATTCCAAGCTAGCATGAAATTTTTGAAAGAGATATTGACAAAGAAAAGAAAGCTTCCGGAGTTTGAAACTGTGGCATTAACTGAAGAAAGTAGTGCAAGAGTCCAAAGCAAATTGCCTCCTAAATTGAAGGATCCGGAGAGTTTTACTTTACCAATTTCAATTGGAAATTCCTGTTCAATTAATATATTGTGTGACACTAGTGCTAGTATCAATCTAATGTCGGATTCTGTTTACAGGGAATTAGGTCTTGGTGAAGTCAACTCAACATCAATAAAGCTACAACTAGCTAATAGAACGATCGCAAGGCCACGTGGTAAATTTGAGGATGTACTCGTCAAAGTAGGAAATTTCATATTTCCTGTGGATTTCATTATATTGGACATACTAGAAGATCGAGATATTCCAGTTATATTGGGTCGATCATTTTGAGCAACGGGACAAACCCTTATTGATATGGAGAAGAGAAAACTAATCTTGATGGTGGAGGACAAACAGGAGATATTCAATACTTACACCCAATATGAGAAACCTCCTAATAAAAATGATTGTTGTAGAATTGATGAAGAAGAGCTACCTAATCAACGAAACTGTCAGAACAAAAAATCAAATTGTAAAGTACTTCTTGGTAGAGATAAGAATGGACAAATCAAAATTTGGAGAGCAAAAAAGGACTGCATCAATGAAAATTGCACAAAGTGCAATGATGGAATAACTTGGTTTGAGCCACCATGATAAATCAGAGGCACAAGTCAAGCTAATGACTTTAAAAGAAGTGCTTCTTGGGAGGCAACCCAAGCTTTTATTTTATTTTATTTATTTTGTTTTCAAAGTTCTATGATAATTAATTTATAGTTTATTTAGGAATCATAACCCATACCCCTTCTAACCATAGGTGTTGGAGTAATTAAGTTGGTTATTAGATGTTTGAGCTAAGTAACCCTTGTTCCATGAGTTTAATTTTTCAAATTTATTTTTTCAAGAACATAACGTTGCGAAACACTTTAAACAACATAGTCATGGAGAAAATGGGACAAATCTCAAGTTTGGGGGAGAATGTGGAAGAAGAGTCGATCAAATGCAATACCAAGACACCACAACATCATAGACAATACTGACACTTCAGGGAAGTCCTTCTCCTTTTCCTTTAAATTTAAAATTGAGGAAAATGTTTATTTTAAGTTTAGGGAAGTGTATTATTATTAATTGCCTACCTGAAATTTTTTTGAGTTGGACAATTTGGCTTACAATTATGTTTTACTTTGAGATTTGGTGTTGATTTATGAACTGTGGATATGATGCATGCTAGATTGATTGAAGTTTAACCTTACAAAACTTGATATTATTCGTGTACCAGAATTGAGTCTGACAGTGTGATGAAACTAGTTGATTCATTTGTTAGATAGATTGATTTAATTGAACATAGATGCTTTACCTAAACCATAGTAAGTTATTTATCTTTAGACCAAAGTTAGCATAGTTTGGGGGTGATTTTACAGTTGTAGGAAGATGCGGATGTGAATTTGGATTCCATGTATAAAAACTTATATATGGATTATCTTAAACTAACATGATAAAATTAGGTGAGAATCTTAAGTTATAGGTCGATTTGTTTGAATAAGTGTGTGATAAGGGGCATTGCACTAATTAAGGCATATACATTTGAAAATTTTAATCTTTTCTCTAAAATATTTATGACTCGAGTGATTAAGTCTACAATGATATCTTAAAACTTAGTGCCCTAAAGTCGTCTGACTTGGGAGTCATCAGCTTAAAACCTGGTACAGGGGTCATCTAGAAAGTTTAATGGAGAGAATTTAAAATAATAATAAATAAATAAATAAAATAAATTGTGAAAAAAAAAACAAATGCATGAGAAGAGCAAAAATACTAAATACCTTGGTTAAGCCCTAACACTTATTTGAGGGAATTTGACTTTTGATGCAAGATAATTAGTTAGTTGAGTCGTGGCGGTCGAAGCAATCAAATAATTGAATAATCATTATTCACTGAAGTGTTGACTTGCAACTAGTAATGTCCACCTGAACTCGAAAGTGTGAGGATAGTAATGAAATATTCAACCTTAGATTACACATTGGGAATGAGTTAAAAAAGTGTAAGTTTGGGAGTGAGTGAATTTTACGAGAAATGTAAGGTATATTTGACCGCGGAGGATCGGGAATTGAAATATCTTGTGCAGTCATGGTTGATTTCTTAATTTTTCACACACATACACACACGTCAATTTTGCACTAGAAGAGTAGATATTAGTTTGGTATTGTGACTTGAAGCATGTTTGTGAAATAAACATCAAAATCTCTTTGAAGTAAAAAGTTTGATTGTCTAACCAATTATCTTTTGCATACTTGTGTGTATCGTCCCTAGAAGATTTTATTGTTTGGTGTGTTCGCTTGCTCGAGGATTAGTAAACGGTTAAGTTTGGGGGTATTTGATGAGTTTGTTGCACTCATGAATTTTGCAAAATTTTAGCTTGATTAATTGCTAGATCTTGTGAGTATAGAATATTTTTGTTAATGTTTTTTTGAAGATTAGGAAAGGTGATGCAAAAAGAGGTACTAAAGCCAACGAAGAGGCCAAAAACAAGGATATTGGGGCAGAAAGACAGCGCTTAGGCTAGGCGCTAAGAAACTTTAAAAAAATGAAACTTGAACTTGAGAGACAGGGCCTAGGCACTACAATCATAGCGCCTAAGCGCTATCATCAGCGCCTAGGCGCTGTAGACGTAGTGCTTAGGAGCTGCACCGAGATTGTCTAGGGGCATTTTTGGGTCGTTTTGAAGTCCATAAAAATCCTACTTTCTACACAAATAGGGGAGACACCTATAAATACATCTTTCTCACATTTTTGGAAAAATTCTTCAGACATTGGAAGACAAGACAACAAAAAGGAAGATTCAAAAGAGAAATTCAAGGAGAATAACACCAAGCAATTGAAGATTTGAAGCATTGATTGGAAAGGAAAGGAGGTCTTGGTATAAGAATTTTACTTTTTCTTCTACATCTTTATTACAAACCGGTGATGTATTCTATGACAATTTACAATATTTCTTCTTGCATTATGAATAGTTAAATTTATTGTTAGAGAGAATAATGTAACGAATTGGGATTCTTTACATTCTCTTATTAAGATTCTTAGTTTTTAATTTTTTCATGTGTTGATTTTGCTATGAGTTGAATGTATTAAATTATCTTATCAATAATTTGATGATTTTTGTGAATTCTTTACAAATAGAGATATGAGTTTAGGATTTAGACCATATAGTAAAATCTAGTACATTGGTAAAACGAGTAGAGATATCTATACCATTTATTGCGGTCATAATTGAATTCTTAGGACAAAGAACTCATTTAACTAAGTAGAATTCGCATAGAAATATGGAATTTAATTAGTTGAATAGGCTCAATGAGAACTCGAGAGGGTAAACTGAATACAATAGGAGAATTCGACTAAGCACTACATTAAAATTGAGTTTTAATTTGAGATATAAATGTGTCAATAGGTGAAGTTATTTTACCCTAACATCCATTCATTATTTGATTTTCCAATCAATCGTGTGAGAATTCATTTATTTTCTAAATTTTAGATTAAAACTTGAATCATACAACTTTTAATTTGTTTCCATCAAATAGTAGTTAAAGAAAAAATTGATTTAAGTGCTAGAAAATAGTCCTTGTGGGATCGACAATCCGGACTCTTAGGTCCACTATAACTTATTACGGGTCGTACACTTGTAAAACAAAAATTTTACAACACACATGATGGTATCATACCCCCTGTAGCTCCATCTACGAGGTGTACTTATCAAGGTGGCTAAGGGGATCCTCTTCCCTTTCGTATGCGGTCATCTGTGAAATCTTCAATTTATCAGGTAATAGTTTGATAAGGATATCTTCGGTGAAGGAAGAATGTCGCTTGGTGAGGTAGTCTTCAGCTCTACCTTTGTTTTTAGCCTCCAGGTTGGCTATGCGTCTTTTTAGGGCACTCATTTTGGGTTCAGCTTGCTCCCGAGGACGTTTTAGGTCGAGCTCAGCATGTCTTTGCATAGGGGTTAGCGAGTGCTGAGTTCCCAACCTATCAAACACACTACCAGTTCTCCTAGCGACGGGCTCCGTTGCGGCTACCTGGCTTATGACTTCGTCAGTTCGACTTCTAGAAGGTTCTCCTCGTGAAAAGTGGAGGGTCCTCCAAATGAGGGAATGTCTGGCCCGTGTCCTTGTTGGAGAATCCACCTCTTGTCCGGTAGGGACAAGTGGACTTGGTTTTGTTCCAATTGGTCAACTGTATTTTTCAGCTTTTCCAGGGCTTCCCTCATAGCAGTCATTTGTGAATCACTTGGTCGGTTTTGTCTCGCCGTCTTGGAGAACTAGGCGGGGTATTAGTTTCATGAGGGTGAGTATGAAATGGATTTCTAGTACTAGAGCTATGACTCATGACTCTCGATTTTTGTGGAGCGAATGGGGCTATTTTTCACAATACGGCACTCCTTTTAGCACCAAACTGTTGACATCAAAATTTGTTAGAATTAATTTCGAGTCAACTTTAAGAAAAGGGGATGATCTCCTTCCTTTTTGTGAAAAAGACTATAATTGCATATAAAGAAGACTTAATTGCGTGGGGCGTTTGTAAGAAAGTCCACACCTTTCACAAGACCGTTTCTCTCCTATTTATACATGACTACAACCGAAATTACATCAAATCAATCAAATCAAGAACAGGACTGAGCTCGGAAGTCGGGTCAAAGATTTTTCCTGTGATTGGTCGATGGGGCCGGTGATCACATGTGAATGTTTTTCTCAGACAATGGTGACCTACGAATGATTTGAAGGCTTGAGGTCTCAGATTAGTGGTGATGATTTCATCCTCAATAAGTGTATGTGATTGAGAGGGTGATATGACAGGAGGTAATCATGATGTCTTTTTGAAATGACGATGGTGGAATATCCAGCTTAACTTTTATGACTGAACTAACATCTGCTGAAATGGGTTTTGATTTATTGGAGGACTGATGTAAAAAAATTCATAATGTTCACACATATTCAAATATGGGTAATGCTATATGTATATCGAATTGTCCACCACGGTGTCTACCCCTTCACATGGAGGGAGACCTACATCGAATAAAATTTGATTTAACCAAAGTAGGTCCCCCTCCATGTGACGAGGTGGACACCATTGGATGTACAAATAGCATTATATTTTAAATATTACTTTTACAGTACTTATAAAACATCTTATAATAATGTGCAATGGACATTCAATATTGACTACTAAAGATAATGGTCTTGACAATAATTATGTTCTTCACTGATCACTATAAAATTTGTAATGGTTCACTATAAATATTAAAATAACTATCCGCTCCAATTCAAGCAAGAGGTTCAATTGGATCACTATTTTTAAATCCGTTTCAATTGGTAACTGAACTTCAATTTAATTACAGAGTTGTTGAACTTCAATTGAGTTTTCAAGTTATCTTCCGTCCATAACCACCCTTCTTCCAAAAAAGGAAAATAAATAAATAAATAAATTTCTATTAGTGACCATACCAAAAAAGATCTACGACCTAATCGATGTATGACATGTCTTTACCATGACACCATATTATGAAAGTGTTAATAAAAAAAATCACGTACCTTAAAATTCTAATCTAATGATATTGTAATAACCCTTATTCACTATTTCAATTTTTAGATGCTACCAAACAATTATGTGAAATGCCAGTTATAAGTGTCAATTGAGATTTCACTATCCGCACATAAAAATCACGTTTGTATTATTGAATGACGTATCTCAATTTTATTGAACAATATAATAATAACTCCACTATCATCTGAACTTATATTAAGCACTACTCATGTAGAATAGTATTAGGCAATATTATTATAAGTCAATCTCGAGGAGAAGTTCAGTGGTTAGGTCTTGAGTATACTATCTAATGATCACTAGTTTGAGTTCCCTCAAAACTACCGAGATGAGTACCTGATCCTAAATTTTAGGATCCCATGAGATTAATCGAAATGTGCATAAATTGGCCCGAACATCCACGATTACCAAAATAATAATAATATAAAATATATATCTTAATTTTAGTAAATAATTTATTTTAATCCCATAATTTTTATAAAAAAAATTATTAAAAAATTGATTTTAATATTCAGCAAGGAGGGCTAAGATTCTCCATATGCACCATCCACTTGTTCACATAATCTTTCATTTGTAAAGGAAATCCCATGAAAGAAAAACATGTTTCTTACATCACATTCAAATTTGAATATAGGTCCTTGTTACAGCAAATCCTAGATTGACAAACACTTGGTTATAGCACAGGTGTCTAAATAGGTGGACCCCACACTATGTTTTGACTCAGTACGTGTCCAATACAGCGTGTACAAGCTTCCAAAGCGGCACCATTTCTTGATTCAAAAGGGACAAGTTACCACTATGGATAGGTGGCGGAATTTCATTGGATAATTGTGACAGATGTTGGATAACTTGTTTCCTTGGATATTTTATTGGATTAGTAGTGACTACTTTGAATTTCTTAATGGGATTTTGTCTCTTGATTTCTGAATAAAATATCTTTGCGGTCTAGATGCTGACACGCTGGCGCCGACCTATCTTCTCTGTCTGTGCAAACGGCTCAAGCCGTGTTGCTTGCGGCTAACATTAGTTTTCACTTTCCTCACGTTTCCGTTTTCATTAGTAAGATAAGAATTTTAAGAACTTACTTGATTGTCATTATTTGATATATTCAATGTTTTAAATAATAATTTTTAAAGAACGAAAATGATGCGTGTACAACATGTGTACATATAGTGCTCTCACAATCATGGAGCCCGCAATTAAAATGTGGGTCCCATCTTTTGTACTTGAAAGGATCGTTAATTATGATGTCAAAATTGTGATATTTATAGCATTGTTCTTTAAAGAATCTATGATTAAAAGAAAGGTAAAAAAATTTGAATTTACATATAAAATATTTTTATGGACCATGCTACACTTACATCTCCTTTCTTACATAATCTTTTACCTACACTCATAATAGGAGGACAGGGTCCACGGTTCGAAATTTTTAAATGCGTGTGTGGCCCGTGCGCATGTGAGAGTAGGGCATCGGTTCAATCGTCAAGATTCGGTACCTATAGTTTAATTCATATTTTATTATGTAAATGTATACTTGAAAATGAATACGTAGAAAAAGAGTTTTGAAATAAAAGATGTCAAACAAGTGATAAATGTTTATTGGTTGGAAAGTTGGAGATAATAAAAAAAAAGTTATGAACATATATATTATAATAATAAAAGAGTGAGGATCTTAGTGCAATAAATAAAAACGACCTAGGTCGTATAGTTACCCAAAGCTTAATTGCCAAAAAAAAAAAAAAAAAGGTTGTAATTCTAAGTTCTTGTACAACTGTGATAAATTCTAGTACAATATGATAAAATGATTTTAAAATACATATTTACAAAAGTATATAAATGAGAGGCCAATTTTAATAGTAAAGTGATATAAACAACAACAATTATATCATAACAATTTACAACGGTCAAATCGTCATATATTCAAGTAAAAATGTAAAGACGTCAGCAACAAATTGTCTCAATTCATTTAACTCGATAGTTGTGTCATGGTCGTTAATTCCCGTTTTCCTCGTAGTTCACTGTTTAAAGGCGAATTTCAATCACTAACTTCAATTTCCAAGTTGAATGTACAATTATTAGCAGTACTTGACTATTTTGTACTAATGATGTTGATAAATTACTAACTCTATATCCCCAGGCATTCAACTAACCTCACACACATCCATATCCATACACAGGAAATGTTGAAAACCAACCACCTGCTAGAAAAGACTGTAAATTGAAAAATTAATGGCATAACGTGATTCACGTACATAGACAAAAGCTTTATCTAGCCGTTCGAGGACAAAATTCGAATGACGAACACAATGAATATAAGGAAAACGACAAGCAAGCAACCGGCTCATTTTGGACAAGCTTGAGCCGCTTTCAAATTTAAAGTAAATATAAAACGGGTTAAATATACCTTTGGTCCTCGAAGTTGCAGCGTAAATTTAATTTGGTCTTTAAGGTTTGTTTTGTTTGAGCTAGTTTTCATTATGGTTCCAACTGAGTACTCCATAGTTAGATTAACCTCAAATCTGCATCAATCCTGTTAACACCGTTATGTAACTTTTGGATTTTAATCCTATTGTCGCACAAGATTTAACCATGCTAAAATGGGATGACAGACACCTAAGTCAGTTTTGATCGACTTTGGACATTTAAGTGACATTTTAATAAGACGAGAAACTAATTTAAAGTAAATTATTCCATCATATCCTATACATGCAGCATGGATAGGATATGATAGTTCTAGATACGATACATTCATATCATTTGATTTTTATTTTTAACATGCTCCTCATGTGTATTCGGGGTTAATTTTTTCGGAAGCATGTGCGCAATTTTATTAAATAGATAGCGATGAGACTTGAATTCATAATCTTTGTCAACGATGATATGTGTTGGACATGATTTAAAATCTTAAACTTTTAGATATGATTGCGTGTATATCTTTTAAATCTCATCTTCAACCAGTGTCTATTATGAAGTCGCTAGATTGAAATTCTTATTGATTTGGACTTTAAGAACCAACTTGAAATTTTGCTACAACTAAAGGGACCAAATCTGTAATTAATTGCAGTACATGCATTGTGTTCAAAACGAATCATTTGAGACAAGAAAAAAACAGTTTAAAGACAACAAGAAATTAATTATTGGATAATCTTAAGGCATTAATACAAGAAAAGCTTAACACGTACCATATTAGAATTTAAACCCTCACTCCACCATTGGCTTGTATATATGTCTCTATATATAACTCCGAATCCTCACCAAACCAGAAACCTTAGGATTCTGCCACATCAAACGCCAAGAAGTATATGAACACGCAAAGCCATCAATTCCAATTTCCAAATCATTATAAATTAATTTAGAGCTTCCATTTTCAAAGAATTTTGAGAAAATCCAAACAAGTGTTCTGCCAACATGAATACAACAACAACAACTTCATCTTCAGTTAAGAAGAAGATGAAGAATAAGATAAGATTTAGCGACGAACAAATTCGGTGTTTAGAGACCATGTTTGATTCTGAAACAAAAATCGAGCCCAAGAAGAAGATCCAGGTTGCAAGAGAGCTGGGATTGCATCCTCGACAGATTGCGATATGGTTTCAGAATAAGAGAGCCAGGTGGAAATCTAAGCTACTTGAGAGAGATTATAGCATACTCAAGGCTAATTACAATAATCTTGCTTCAAGATTCGAAGTCTTGAAGAAAGAGAATCAGTCATTGATTGTCCAGGTAATTATTCAATTTTACTCACTCCTTGACAGTCATGTTTAGACAATTTGAATGTGCCTGCTGAAAGTCTAAATTAAGAACTGTTGAATCATGGAATTTCGTCTTAGATAGAAAGTAAGGAGGAGGATTTAGTCAAAATTCTTAAGAGTGTTCATTATATTATTTTTCGTGGAATATCACTTTAAACATGTCTTGACTTTTCTAACTGTTCCACTCTTTGCCCAAGTGCTTCTTTGAACTTTAGAAGGACTAAGATTCCTCGTATGAACTTTAGACGAACTATCATTTGAATTTTTTGGTTCATTATATGCATCATACTGAGTCTTGTTAATAGAAGTAGTTTAAATCATAGTTATTAAACTCAATCTGATCATCAATCTGGACAAATTATTGGGTCAATGGTTCAATTTGTGGATCAATAATTTGATTTAGAGATGACAAAAAAATCTATTCAACTTGGTGCCCACGAGCCCTTCCTTGAATGGGATAGGGATTACCCATCTAACTGGGTAAATGGGATGGGGAAGGGCGGGGTCCTCAAAGTAGGTATGGAGTGGGAACGAAAAACATAATCCTTGTCCCATTTAAAGTTAATTTCAAATTTAAATTTTTTATCAAATAAAAATAAAATATTTATCATCATTTTTAAAGAGAACATAAGTTGCTTTTAACAAATTGAAAAAAAAATTACTAATTACATACATAAAAAATAAAATAAATAAAAAATATATATAAAATGGGGAAAGGTACCTCCCCACCCTGATCCAATCCCACCCCGAACCTGTTCCATCCCGCTTTAATTGGGTAAGAAGTCGGGGCAAGGTGACAAAAGTAGACAGAATGAGGGTGGAAATGTTCAACTCATCTCATACTCGCCCGATTTCCATTCCTAGTTCGACCATTCTATCATTGTTAGGTTAAATTCTAGTTTAAAAAATATTTTAAAAATAAATAAACAACATTTCGAAAAATAGAATATATATATATATATATTACACGCCCATTTATTATAGAGATACCATGGTTAATAACTTAATATAGTGGTGAAGGTATTCTTCTTTCCCACAAGATGCACAATTTCGAATCCTTGCTACCACAAATGTTATGTTCAATTTTGTTATTGACCAAGTTTAGTAACAAATGGTTTAGAGTGAACTCGATAGGGTTGGCAACGGGTGGTGGTGTTGGGCATTTTTTCGGCCCATTATTCATTTAAGGCAGGGCGGGCGGGACGGTTGCCCAGTTTAATTTTTATTTATTTTTATATAATTTTTGATAATTCATTTTATTGCCTCAATTCATTCAAGTGAGACAATTATATTGCTATAAAATTTTTAATTAATTTATTTATTTTTAAAAGTTAAATCATTCAAACATATTTGATAAACTAAGATTTTTATTATTTATCATATTTTTAAGATAATCTTAATTACCATATTTTATTAGAATTAATAAAATTTTGTGAAGTTTTTCCATTTAAAGTATTGAATTCTAAAAAATTAAACGATTCAAGCCCGTTACACTTACTCGTCTCGAGGCAAAATTCCGCGCCACGTACCTAATCCAATTACCCAATTAAGCGGGTAATCCCCGCCCCGTTTCGGGGCGAAACCCTACGGGTATTGGGTTTAACGGGGTATTTTTGTCCTCCCTAGAACTTGATTCAGTTTCCTTACATCCTCTTGGTTTTAAATGATTCTTGACCGATTTTAATTGATTCTTGATTGGATTCTTTGACAATGGACCAATTAATGTCAACGAGATCGGACGGAAATCCAGTTTGATAACTTTCGAGTCAGATCGGTTGATCCAATCGATTCTAATAACTATGATTTAAACGATAATACTTTGTTTGTTAACTTATTATATTTGTACTTTAACTGAATTTACCCTTAAGGCTTGCTTGGGAGTTTTGGGAGTTTTAGATATATTAATTAATAATTGACTTAAAACGCTAAATATTTGCTTTTAAGATTTAAGTTAGTATTTTTTTTTTTTTACTTTTAAGTAAATTTTATAATTATAAGTTAATTTTGTACTTTTAAATGATATATAATTAAATTTTTACTTATAAGTAACTTTTTATATTTTGTAAGTGCTTTTTTATCTTATTAGTTGTATTTTTACTGTGTATATAAATATTTACAAAAGTGATTTATCTTATAAGTAATTTTGACTTACTAGAAATTTTTTAATTATAAGGAAATTTGTTAGTTATAAATAGTTTTTTTAAGTCAATGCTTTTTTATTTAGAAGTTCATTTTGAACAAGATATGTTGATTGAAAATAATTATTTTATAAAATATAAAATTAGAAGAAAATTTAAGAAATGATTAAAAGCCGCCAATTTGATGGGTTGATAGAAACAATCAAAATTACAATATATATCAATTTTGGATGATTTTAGAACAATCCAAAATCATGCCAGGAAAACTAGCAAAACATCGATTTTCACAGCTAATAAAAACTCCCATGCGGGCCCTTGGACTTCTTACCATCAGTATTCTAGATGGATTGCATTATTCATACCTGCATAGGCAAATGCATTTAATAATGAAAAATACTTCAGGTACAGAATTTTTTTACTAGAAAAATGACAGATTTTTGAATTCCTACTTACATGGGAGTAGGCCCCATGTATAAAATATTGTAAAAAAATAAAATTTTCCATCCTCCCTGTGTGTATTCGGTAGGTACCGGGATTTAAATCCCCGTACCTATAGCAATCACCATGGTTTTTGACAAAGTGATCTTGAACAGTTACAGAAGATGAAGGATATTCAAGAAAAGGCTGAAAACAGCATCAGCGCCCATGATGGAGAATCAGATATTGCCAATGGAAATAACATCAAAAATGAAGTTGAAGCAGCAGAACTGAAGCAAAACCTATCAGAAAAACATGTTTTTTCGGATGATGAAAACAACACGAGATCTGCAGCAGATTATTTCGACAGATTGGATGAAGATGTCGAGCTTTTGAAGATGGTGGAAGCTGCAGATAGTTCATTAACATCTCCTGAAGATTGGGGCAGTCTTGATTCTGAAGAATTTCTAAACCCCCCAACAACTAGTTATCAGTGGTGGGATTTCTGGTCTTGAATGAAAAGAATAATTTACCTGCCTGGAGGAATCGTGTAATTTAAATAATTCTCTGTTGGTATATATATAAATATATTATTATTATCACTTAGCATCAGAGAATGCTATCTTGTAGCTCTTGCTGTCATTTTTAGAACTACAAATGCTGACTGAGAGAGAGAGAAGCCACTTGGATACATTTATTAGAGCTGAAATGTTTAGTTGAAATTGCATTCCCATTGGGGAAGAGTTCCAGAATTTCTAGTGCATTTTGCTTATGATATTTGGGTACCTACTTAAAAGACAATTTCTAGAATTGTTACAAATAGTTGTTGATTTTAATTGATTAAAGTCGTATTCTTCAACTGAAATTCTAACTTATGGAAACATGTTTTTACCAAG